CAGGGACAGCGTTAGCCTCCAGCAGAGCAGGAAGAGAGGGGAGAGAGTTTCTTCTTTTATACGTATTTATATTCTGACGGTTCTATTGGTTTATTTTGTATTGGCACGTGCATAGAGAGCCTTGTCGTGCAATTCATGGGGCTAGGTGCTGTACAGAGAGGCTGAAAATGATCCAGTCCCCCAATTGCTTACAATATTGAGCAGATTTAAACCTCCCCCGTTACTGCTTGAGAACGGAAGCCCTCCAGGAATGCAAGGGAGAAATACAGTGTGGGTATCGCAAGCAACTTTTGTAAGTGGTTATAACCCCGTCCCCACCCCGCAGGTCACCCGGGTGCTTCAGTCTCTGGGGCACTGGATGGTTGTGCCCATGCTGAAGCAGAAAAGCAATGGTTCAAATTTTGATAAGGATTTTACATTGTTGACAGTCACGTGGCCTGGGTCCCCGTAGTTGGTTATTTAGGATTGAGAGCTACTAATCCAAGCCAAGGAAGTCACGGATATATTGGCAGGGAATGGCCACACCTCGAATCCTGTGTTCAGTTTTGGGCCCCTCACTCCAAGAAGGACATCGAGGTGCTGGAGCGTGGCCAGAGAAGGGCAACGCAGCTGGTGAAGGGTCTGGAGCACAAGGCTGGTGAGGAGGGGCTGAGGGAGCTGGGGTTCTTTAACCTGGAGAAGAGGAGGCTGAGGGGAGACCTTATCGCTCTCTGCAACTGCCTGAAAGGACGCTGTAGCCAGGTGGGGGTCGGTCTCTTCTCCCAAGTAACAAGTGACAGGACGAGAGGAAACGGCCTCAAGCTGTGCCATGGCAGGTTTAGGTTGGATATTAGGAAAAACTTCTTCATGGAAAGGGTTGTCAGGCATTGGAACAGGCTGCCCAGGGAAGTGGTTGAGCCCCCATCCCTGGAGGTATTGAAAAGCTGGGGAGATGCGATGCTTAGGGGCATGGTTTAGAGGTGAACCTGGCAGTTAGGTTAACGGTTGGACTCGATGAGCTCGGAGGTCTTTTCTAACCCTAATGATTCTAGAATTCTATGAATTAAGCACACCACACCGAGCTATGCTTCGTGGCTGGTACCAGACCTCCGAAGCAGCAAGGTCAGATTTGCAAAGTCATTTAGCTGTCTAAATCCCCTTGGGTTCAAAGAGAAGCCCTGTCCTTCGGCAGCGAGGACGCTGCTCCTGGAGAGCGCTGCACTCCCTGAGCCTGCTCTGCCTTTAGGGATTTGCCCCCAAAGTTACTGATAAGGAAAAATCAAATTAGTGCACTCTCAGAGGAAGACCCTCTTTTTCTGCCCCTTCCAACAGAGAGCTTCATTCGATTGCTCAGCAATAAAATCTGCTTCCGTGGGTGTGCTGAGCAGGAGGTCCAGAAGCACTGAGCTGTGCCACGAAGTGCGCAGCAGCCAAGGCAGCGACGGGGCCCGTGCTCCAGGAGATGAGTCAGCTGAAAGGAAAGCGATTTTTCCTATTCTTGTTTGCCCTTCCCATGCTGAATCTCTGGGGCAACCGACGTAACGCCCTGCCCCTTCCCCTGCGCCTGCAAAACAGCTCAAAGCGTGAGAAACACCCAGGCCCAGGGAAAGGAACCGGCACAGCCCTTTCTAGCTGTTTCCCATGTCTGTGTGCCCACAAATGATGGAGCTTCTTGGCTCTGCCATGGACCTTCACCTCTGCGAGAGCTGGCCAGGCTCCTGCCTCCGTCCCGCTGCTCTGCCCCTGCTGCCAGGCTGCTGCAAGGAGAAACCCACCAGGTTTGTTCAGTCTTCTGCTAATGCGGGGACCGGGGACCAGGGACGGGTACAGCTTGCAAACAAACCAGATCCTGGGACACTTTATTCTGACCATCTGTGTTGCTAGCTGCTGGTCCACACTCTAAGAAGCCCCTATTCCTCCTGCAATCCCCTATAGCATTTCATTTACCTATAGGATGGGGGAGCCTCATGAGCCTTAAGGGACTCTTGCACGCATGCAGCCAAACACATACGACTGTGGGAAGATGGGGATTTGGGGAACTCGCTCTGTCTCTATGAAATACGTTGTGAACGTGCAGAATAGCTGGTTTTGACTATAAATTGCTAGTTATAGAAAGCTGCACATATCGCATAACAAATAAAAAAGAATCGGTGAGTTACTGTATTTTTAAAAGCCTTAACTGCAAAGTAGTAGCACATACAAATAATCAGG